ATATATATATATATATATATATATATATATATATATATATATATATATATATATCCAAAATACGCGTGGATAATAAGTAACGATCGTTTCAATCATCTTCAAATTGACAAACTCATCTTTATTTTATTTGTTACTCTATACGATAAAAAACTTCATAGATATATTTATATCTATCATTTACTCGTTTGTATAATTATGCTGAGCTAACAAAAGTTCAGCACACCGAGCTATTAAAAGCGCGCAATGCGATACTTTAAGATGATACAGTGATGATGATAATTGAGAATCGTGATGTCTATAAATAATGCCATGACGTATACTTAATCAGTAATGATAAATAATTGATAGTCGTTTCGTGTCCAACTATAACGTATAGTAGAATACACGCGTCTATCCGTTACATTTGTGATTTAAGATCTAAATTATTCGAGCATCACAATACGGCGTGAGGTTTACCTCTGTGTAATAATTACTTGATGGAGGCTCGTAATTAATTTGTTTGGCGGAACAGCAATCTCCCCGCGTGATGTGCGTATTTAGGTTAAACTTTTTTCCCTTTTAGTATTTTACTCTCACTTCGTTTACCTTGGCATCTCGATGTTGAAAAGCGTAGCACGTAATTTCGAACGTAGAATAAATTTAGGTTAAGGTTTCGACGTCACGAAAATATTGGCGTCTGTTGATTACTTCGCTTTTCGAAGCAGTGAATAGAAAAAATGAAAAAAAGTCTATATCGTAATTGTTACATGTACAATGTAAATTTGTATCTTACATATACGCACATATTTAAAATATAAATCGATTTTTCTATCGAACTGGGTATCTTAAAAAAAATCGAGATTTTGACATTAAATGGTGTATTAAATAATCGTTTTGTTTAACTTTTTATATTGCGCAGTCTGGTTCACATCAAAGTAAACGTGAGTTTTTATAAAATTGGACTAGTTTCTTTTTTAATTCCTACATCTGTAATTCTTTTTACGAGTACAATAACCTATGATCACAGAATGTCAAATTTCCGAATGCAAGGCCAAGATTGTTGTAACATTATTAGTACATATAATGCAAAAAAACAAAACTATCTAACTAATCAATCCTGTTTGTCATCTTATCAATTTTTCTCGAGAAAGATTTTGCTGTTCCATAAATTTTGGATAATACATGAGTTGAAAGTAATTATTATAATTGAAAGCGATCCGACCACACCTCGATCGAGGAATTATTTAACTTTAATCGTTATCCCATCGTTTGCTGTTCAATTGTTTCAAAATTCCAACTAAAATAATTTAAGAAAATAATTTTAAGACTTCCGGAAATTTTGACATTTCTTGGTTATAGAGTATTCTCTCGTATTCGTCGGAGAAAATAAAAAAGAAGAGCTCTTAAGAAAGATTGACTGAAGTCTTATGCCAAGAAACTATAATAGATAATGAATATTTTAATAAATCAATGATAGCCAATCACGTGTGGAGGCAATTCTACCGGCTGATGTACTTCCGTATCCTTCGAAAAGAAGCCGAAATTTCAATCCAACTAAAAAGTAGAAATACCAACGAGTACCAATTTTGCAGAACTGACACCACACATGTAATTAAATGTCAAGTTAGAAGTTGGATTTAAAAACTATCGGCTGACGGTGCTCCTTTTTCCTTTTTAGTCATAAAGTTACAAAAGGATCAATTGTAAGACATAAACACTAATGCACACACATTAGTAAGGCCCTTGTTCTAAGCTCTCTTTTATAGATTAAAATGCCACCGTATGTAACTAAAAAGTCTTCTGATTGCCTTACAAGTACATGTAGAGCCCATTTTTCAATAGCAATTTAAACCTAAATTTAAGTTTGAGCTTTGTTCAAACGCATTATTTAGAATATAGAGTTATAATATATTCAGCTTTTAAATCTAGACTTAAACTTATATCTACTATTGAAGAATCGACTCTTACGCACGATTTTTCCAACGTCGATGAGTCTTAATGTGAGTTTAAACTGTCTTCAGAGAAAGACGTAAAGTCCAGTTAAGAGTTAACCGACGTTTAAGGACGTTGATGGAACTCCCTCTCCCGGTCCGTAAGAGTTGAAACTGAAATCTAAATTTAAAATATTGTCGGGAAATCGGGCACCTTGCGAGCACTTTTACCGACAAGAGAGGAGTTCGGGACAAGGAGCTGAGCATTCGATGAAAAAGTAAGAGTTATACCGCGATGTGCGTTCGCCGCGTGGTATTTCTCAGCGACGAAATTTCGACTTCCACTGTGACCGTCGCGAGCACGCCGCGAATCGACGCCGCGAGACGAGTCTACGCGTCGCGTACGATCGTCGTACTCACCTTGATGATCTTGTACTTCTTCTTGGTCGCTTGATTGAGGTCCTCGTGCACCTTGTCAAGCAGCCACAGTAGGAATTCCTGAGCATCGTGCTGCAGATTGCCGCGATACTGGCTGCCGTACTTGTCGACGACGCTTTTAAACGCGGTGCTCATCTCCGGGTCGTACTGGCAGCTCCAGATGGCCTTGAGCAGCAGCGCCAACTGCTCAGTGATCTCGCCCTTAGTGCCGTACTTCTTCGAGTTGATCTTGTTACGGCGCGACAGATCGACCTTGTACTGGTCCAGCACGAAGTACTCGGCGAGTATGTCGGTGTGCGAGAGGCACTGCAACACGGCGTTCATGAAGCACGTGTTGCCGTGGTTGCGCAGGCCTATGACACCCGGCACTCGGTCGGGCGGTATGTGCGCCGGCCGCGGCGGCGGCACCCTGATGTCGCCCGCGCTCGAGCCGAGGTCGTCGCCACGCTGGTGCGACGCGGCCTTGTAGCTCTGCGCGCCCATACTCGACATGTGCCGCACCATTTTGTTGATGAACTTCTTCCAGGAGGGCCTGCGGAACACCTTCTTGCCGCACGGCCGTTCCTGGTAGTCCTGCAGCTGGCCAGTTTGACCGCCGTGCAGTCTACTCGTGGCGTTCGGCCGTTGTTGCGGATGCTGCTGCGCGCCGTCCGCATGCCGCGCGTTGCTCCTGGTGTTCTCCTTGGCGGACGGCGCGCTGTTGTCCTTCGTATCGCCGCGGGTTTGCTGCTTGGGACGTCTTCGCGACATCCTGCTGCTGGCACTTTGAAACGGGTTTCTCGGCAGTGTAAAAGTACGCTTGAGCCGCGAGGCGCCGCGCGACTCGACGAATTTAACCTTTTCCTCCACGCCCAGCTCACCCTCGGACACTGATTTCATCACCGTGATGCCACGATCCGTTCTCGCGGCGTTCATCGCCAGCCACCCAGCCGCTCGTTACTCGGCTTACGTGTAAGCGTCCGCGCTGGCCGTCACCGACGCTCACATCGCTACTCGCAGCATACTGCACCACTTCGATGACGACGACGACGACGACACGACAACGACGGCGACGGCTATGACGATGATCTTCACGGCTGCGACGACACGTACATACGCGGCACTTGTGCACGCCGTGTGCGCCTACGCGTACCCGCGGCCGAACGTCATGCGCGCAACGAATTGTCACACTGAAACAACACGGCGGCCAACGGCGGCCATTTGCCGTTATCACGAGCTCCCATGATTTCACAACGCCTCGGCCATGGACCATCGGTAATGCTGATGCTCGGTCGGTCACGATTGCCAATCTCTCGTTGTGTCAACACGAGTGCAGCGCCACGTTCTACTGCGATGTTAGTAATGTAGATACCGTTTCTCGATAAACAAGGCACCGATGTCGTGAAACGATTATCTTCATAGACGTAAGAATCAACTTCAACTTCAATATTTGGCTCCAGACTTCTCTAATGGCTCCTGCACACAGAACGCAATAATCCTTGCTACGCGGCAGAAATTCACGTGACAACCAATCAATATGCTGGTTTCTGTAAAAACCATCTAACTCTTATGGAAAAACAACATATTGATTGGCTATCGCGCGAATTCCGCCGCGCGGCAAGCATTACCGCGTCCTGTGTGCAGAAGCCATAAAGCTGACCACACATACTTTCCGTAACAGTATCGTAAGACGTAACATAAGAATTTAGCAATCATGTTGAGAATCGTCGAATTATAAGATCGTCATTTTTGTGAATACTCGATCGTAATTGGTTAGTTCTTACGTTACGTCTTACGATTATTGTTACGAAAAGTGTGTGTGGCCAGCTTAAGAATTTTGCCCCAACACCATTATGGCTCCTGCACACAGGACGCGGCAATACTTGCCGCGCGACGAAAAGCAGCATATTGATTGGCTGTCGCGCGAACTTCCGCCGCGCGACAAGCATTACCGCGTCCTGTGTGCAGGAGCTATAAAGGTGCCAATACATGGGAGCGTTCTAGCGTCGAGCGTTAAAGCGTTAGCCAATCAACGTATCAGGTTCCAGAAGTATACTTGTAGTTCTTGAGGAAAGTGGCACGTTGATTGGCTACCGCTTTAACGCTCGATGCTCGATACTCTTTGACTATATAACCATGGACTGCTAGCCGCTAACTTGAACTGCTGCAGCAAAACGTCTGTAGCGCTGCCAGGATCAAACAACGGCTATTACGTAAACTATCACATACTTGTGATTTCTATTTTACCATATGAAAAATATTTTGTGTGTGTGTCCGTGATCATAAAATGCAGTTATTATTAAAATACATGAAAAATTATTATATTTTTTTAATCGTCAATAACAGACTTTTTCATTTTTTTCTTCAAATAAATTATTACATTAAAAAAAAAGTTATATAACTTTGCTATAATATAAAAATCAACAATTTTTAAAACAACAAGAAAAAAAATCTGACTTGCAAGGAAAATATAAAAACACAAAATAAGATATTTATATAATTTCATACCAAATTTGTATTTATTATATTACATAAGAATATATAATATTTATATAATATATTTATATAATAAGAGATACATAATATATGAATAAAAAAATATATATATACTAAGAATGTTTATATAATATATATGTAATATTATAAAAAGATATATAATATATATGTAATATTATAATTTTTGTCAATTTATGTCTGATATATTGACATTGTTGCTCATTAATTTTTCCTCATAATTCATAACAATTTTAACATAATTTTCTATAATTAATTTTGTTATAAAATATTTGTGGTTTTCAAGAAAGTCTAATTCTTTTTATTACTTCTACTATATTATTACGCCTTTCCAATACGTATCACTATGTGATACGCGGATATTAGAAGCGTTTACGTTGCTAACTCTGTTTTGCTCTACTGAGTTCCTTCTTTTGCCGTTGTTGGTCCTGGCGGCGTTACAGAGTTGACAGACGCTTAGAATCGCCCCTAGTGGTCCATGGTTATATAGTCAAAGTCGGGTGGGACCCAATTGACCACGGTATGATTGAACACAACCGATGGAAAGAATTATCTAGTGAATTACCAGGTCGAACCAATCATTACAATCTGTGTCCAATCGTATCGTGGTCAATTGGGTCCCACCCGTCAAAGTCGATACTCCTCGATGTAAAGGTACCTTAATGAGTGCTTTCCAGTTACGTTTTATATATTACACAAAACCAGTTTATTGATTGTATATTATCTTACAAGATATTTTAGATAATATGCGACCAATAAACTGGTTTTGTGTACGTATGTGTCAAGATGTGTTAAGCAATTGGAAAGCACCCAATGGCTCCTGCACACAGGACGCGGTAATGCTTGCCGCGCGGCGGAAGTCCGCGCGACAGCCAATCAATATGTTGTTTTTCCGTAAGAAAAGGTTATTACGGAAAGCAGCATATTAATTAGCCGTCGCGCGAACTTCCACTGCGCGGCAAGTATTGCCGCGTCCTGTGGGCAGGGGCCATAATTGTCGTAAACACCCATAGTCAATCGGCAGGTTTGATAAACTTGTCATATGACACGTGAAATGATTCTTAATCAATAGGTTTGTTCTTTTTCTTTGCACTGGTGGCAGTAGTGCAAGCAGTGTACACTAAAGTGTTCTTTTCAACGATTACGGCGACTTTATGACGTCATAATTGCTGTTCTTTTCTTCAATGGAACGTTGAACTCAGTACAATAGAACACTGCACTGCTTGCCCTAATGGTCTGTTCTTTTCAGCTGCACTGCTGAACTGGTGCAAGTTAGAGTGAGAAAATATATACTTATCTCACTTTAACTTATTGCACCAGTTCAGCAGTGCAGCTGAAAAGAACAGACCATAGGTTTCGAACTAGGGCAGCGGTGTAGTGCAACATGGCGACGTACACGAATAAGAATAGGTTGGAATCCTCAAATAAATAAACAAGCAGCATAATAACTTAATAGCAAAATACCTGTAAAGTAAAATTCCTGTTAAGATAAAATTCAATATAATTAAAGTAATTATGATATGATTGTAGTTATTGAGATAAAATGGATTACATATTTATTTTAAATATGGAGTTAAACAGAAAAATGGCACAATTTTAAAGATGTCCAGATAGCACAGAGAATTCTAAAAGAATTCAGTCGTATGTCACCAATTCTGAGTTCATTTTTAAATACAAAAAGAGTTTTTTTCACTGAACTGGACTCTGAAGAATTCTTTTTGTATCTGAAAATGAACTCAGAATTAATAACATACGATTGAACTCTTTTTGAATTCTTTTTTAATTCTCTGTGCTATCTGGGTAGTTTTTAAGGGTGGTTGCAACATTACAAGCATCTCTTCTTCATCTGAAGAATCAATTCCCAGTTTCGAACTATGTGACGCGCCATGTTATTCACTGTCCTGTGACGTTCTTTTCCTCTTTACCAGGCTCCTACACTGTTCAGTATAATGCAGTGCAGTGCCAGTGCAGAGGATAAGGGCTATCGCACACAAATTGACATAACTGCATATGCATAGCATAAGATCGTATGGACCAATGAGCATTGAATATTAAGTCGCCATATTGATGATTGATACTTAATATTCGATGCTCATTGGTCCATACTATCTTATGCTATGCATATGCATCTATGTAATTTTGTGTGTGATGGCCTTAAGAACAAACTTCATGTATTATGCAGATTTACAGTAGTTTAAATCCTGTATGATGGACTTATACCAATTCGGAGAGAGAGAGAGAGAGAGAGAGAGAGAGAGAGAGAGAGAGAGAGACTAGTTTGAATCATTGTTTATTCTTTCTTTGCTATGACCCTTACAAAGTCTGTTCGTTTTCGAAGAACTTTTTAATCAGTGCACGCTAGTGCAGTAAGTTAGAGTGAAAGAAAATGTACTTATTTCATGTATTATTACTCTAACTAATGTACTTATTTCATGTATTATTACTCTAACTAATCAGACTAATGTGCGAGTTCTTAAAAAATGATGTTTGCGTTATCGCGTGATATGCGATTACATAGTGTGTGCAAAGATAAAATCGCACGAGATATCGTTTTCGCGTCTCATCGTGATTCAGGCAAATCATTACAATTTTTTTCACATTCAACACATTCGTATAATTAAAACCAGCGCGGATCGGGATCATCAGTAATATTCTCGTTACCGATATCGAAACTGTAATACAAACATGGATATGGAATAGTGCAAATTTTCATATACGCTGTATCCGCTTCTCTGTTGCGATTTTGCTCGTTGTCGAGCTTTATACAAACCGTATTTAAAAAATCAGTATGTGTGTTGTAACAATATTTTGAAAAGAAAAAAAAAGCTGCAGCTAAAGGCAAAATCAAGCTGAAATTATTATTATATCACACAAAGGTATTTATGTATAGCTTGCTAAAAGTCTTCCCTTTCCGCACATACGATTCGTGATTGCCCCACACACACACACACACACACTAGATCCCTTTATATAGAGTAATTGAAAATCTATTTTCTCTATTTTGTTATTTTATTATACTTTTAGTAGAGATTATCCTTGATTAACAAGCAATAAAGCAAAGGACCAGCGCAAGACTATGGGACCTCTGGAAGTACTATGTGGCATTGTTGCCTTAATTTTTACTCTTTATTATTACTTTACATCAACCTTTGACTTTTGGAAGTCACGTGGCATTCATGGTCCACGACCCATACCACTATTTGGTAATATCAAGGATGTTATGCTCACTAGAAAAGCTATGAGCAATTATTTATTGGAAATATATAAGAAGTACAAGGATGAATCTTTGATTGGCATATTTGCTAGAAGGACTCCCATCCTTATTGTAAAAGATCCAAATTTTATCAAGGATATTCTTATTAAAGATTTCTCCAACTTTCCTAACAGAGGATTACCAATTTATGAGAAGGTACAGTTGCTTTTGATTTTTCTAGCATTTTGCAATATTTTTTATATGCTATTGGAACATCTTTTAAGATGTATTCTTTCCTTCTTTCCTTTGTCGATTGATTTTAAAGCAAAGAATTTGTTTCAGGCTGAGCCGCTGTCGCAACATTTATTCTCTTTGGAAGCAAAAAGGTGGAGACCATTAAGGACAAAGCTATCACCTGTTTTTACATCTGGTAAATTAAAGGAAATGTTTCCTCTGATATTAGAATGCTCTGAACACTTGGAACGATACGTGGAAAAATTGGCGAGCAGAAACGAGCACATAGAGTGTCGTGAGCTGACAGCCAAGTACACAACTGATGTTATCGGTAGCTGTGCCTTTGGTATCGAAACAAATTCTCTGTCGGATGTAGACAGTGAATTTCGCATAATGGGAAGGGAGGTATTTGCTCGAAAATGGTATAATCTGATACGATTTAGAATCAGAGAAGCTGCGCCATGGCTGTACGTTATTCTCGGTTACATCCTACCGTTAACCAGGGTCACCAAATTCTTTACACGTATTCTCATGGAGAATATCGATTATAGAGAAAAGAATAATATCGTTCGACATGACTTCGTTGATACTCTACGTGAATTAAAAAGGCATCCGGACAAAATCGACATTGGTAAATATATCAATTATTTATGTTTCACTAATACAATAATATAACTGTTACATCGTCCTAATGTAACGAAATTTAACGTGGATTAAAACATTCACGTTAGTTGTAATTTCTCGCACTCAAACGAAATTGTGTAGTAAAAATATAAATCGTAAGTATAACATCTCACATAGCACGTAATATTACATAGTAGTGTATTACGTAATAGCGTCACAGTAATATTTCCGTAATATTATAATATCGTAGAAATATTACGGAAATATTACTGTGACATTGTAATATTGCATGCTATGTGGGATGTTATCAAAAGGTTATACATGTAACAGTTATATATGTCGTGATGACGAAGATGTTATACAACTGGAATATAAATTATTCACTTCTCTGCAACAAGGGATGTGTATAATTGTATGCATGTTTGTTGCACGCTTGTCAATCAAATATCAGATAATTTGTAAAAATATTTTTTCAAAAGCGTAGTAATTATTTTATATCAAAAATGGTTTCTAATAAGTGTAATAATATAAAAGTAGATAAATATGCAGTATAACGCCCCTATCATGGATTTTTTCAAACTTTGTAAATTTGTATATTTTTATGCGTAAAATTGATTTCTGAAAACGAAAACTGTCATTCACTTTTCGTTTTCTTGTTTTTTTTAATTTTGTTTTATGATGTCGGTAAGTAGGAAAGACAAAGAATAGTTCATACATGCTTTTCTCTGCTTTAATCAAAAGTATAAACTGTTATAAAGCAGAAAATTGTTCATACATGCTTTTCTCTGCTTTAATAAAAAGCATAAACTCTGTTATAAAACAGAGAATAGTTCATGTACGACGAGAACGTCGTAATCGTGTACAGTTAGATCTAAATTTTAATCCGTATAAAAAGGTAATTATTAAGTTTTATAAAATAGTGTATATGATTAAAGCAGAAAAAAGCATACATGAACTATTCTCTGCTTTATAACAGAGTTTATGCTTTGGTTAAAGTAGAGAAAAACATGTATGAATATAAAATTAAAAAAACAAGAAAACGAAAAGTGAGCGACAATTTTCGTTTTCAGAAATCAATTCTACGCATAAAAATTTACAAAGTTTGAAAAAAATCCATGATAGGGGCGTTATACTGCATATTTACCTAAAAGTATTATATTGCTATTTTAGACAAATCGTTCATTAAACTTTTATCACTATGAATGATATTTTGCTGGGAGTGATGGTTACTGATCAATTATCATTAATCAAACAGTACGCTACTTTATTAAGCCAGCGGCACACGATGCTTGTTTTCATGCTGATTTGTTTGCTTGCTGGATGGAAATACTCTTCTGATTGGTGTATTTCTGAAGATGGATGGAAATGCACCAATCAAAATGGAATATTTCCATCCAGCAAGCAATCCAGCACAAAAACAAGCACCGTATGCCGCTGGCTTTATATAATAGTAGGCACGGTACAAAGTTTGCCATAACGTGATCACTAAGTTTACACGGCAACTTAAAACCGGTTTAGTAATTACCATAGTTGGTAAACTCTTGAATCCGATTATATTTCTAGATCTAAAAGAATATACCAATCGGATGCGAGAGTTTACTAAATATGGTTGTTACTAAACCGGTTTTAAGCTATCGCGTAAACTTAATAACTATCTTTATACGTTAATGTATGATATTTTACGTACAAGAAATAGACGATACTATTTAGGGGGACAATGCGACATGTGCGACATATAAAAATGTTGCATAACATAAACGCGAATACTATTTATATTTTTGTATGTAACATGTTATATTTGAGTTATTCTGTGTTATAACCAAATAACAGAACAATGCGACAGTTTTAAACAGTTATATCGCAGTTGTAGGAGAAAATTATGTAATCTCAATATTAATAACATATAACAGCAGTTATATTATGTCCTACTTTTTATTATGCAACATTCTATGTTCGCTGAGTGTGATATATTCCAACTACATGTATGACGTAAATGATTCTCACTTTACTATATTAATTTTTAAAAGTTAAATTAACATGATAAGATGCGAGCTCGTGTAAGAAAGATGGCACATTTCAGAATTGACCGACAATATAATCGCTTCTCAAGCATTTGTATTTTTTGTTGCTGGTTTCGAAACTTCATCGACTACCATGAGTCATGCACTTTATGAGTTAGCGCAGAATCATAAAATACAGGATAGATTACGAGAAGAAATTAACCACATGTACGCAAAAAATGGCGACACTTTAACATATGACAATATCAAAGAGATGGACTACTTGGATAAAGTTTTCAAAGGTACGTCTTTCAAGAAGATCGAAGAGGCGCGGTAAATATATTGTTGTTTCTAAATATCTGTCTTGAGAATTTAAAATATATTAGTTTAGTTGCATATATTATACAAATGTATCTTTATGACTCATCATTGATTTTTATCAATACATGAAGAAACATTACGAAAATACCCGCCAGTGACGTTTTTGATGAGGAAATCGATATCAAACTACACTTTTGACGGTACCAAAATTAATATACCGAAAGGCCAAACTATATGGATACCAGCTTATGCGATTCAACGAGATCCAGATATTTATCCGGATCCGGACTTTTTTCAACCAGATAGATTTAACGAGGAAATTATGAAAACTAGGAATGCGATGTTTTATCTTCCTTTCGGCGATGGGCCAAGGAATTGTATCGGTACAACCCTTACGAAAAAAATACAAGGAAACTCTTAATTTTGGGTGTAAACACCCAAAAATTGGGAATAAACACCTAAATTTGAGTGTTAACATTGAGAGTTTTTTCATACCTTTTTCGTAAAGGAATGAAATTTTGATTATTGAAATGTTTCTTCTCTGCAAAAGTAAAGCGATGGTTTGCTCAATGTCTTTTTATTATTTTTAGGTGCTCGTTTTGCTGTTTACCAGACCAAAGTTGGACTCATAAAGATATTGCGAAACTACATTGTTGACATTTGCGATAAAACGCAAATTCCTTACATAAATGATCCTAAAGCGTTTCTGTTAGCACCAAAGGATGGAATATATTTGAGAATAACCAAAATCAATCGAGCTTAATATAAGTTGTACTGCTGTATATAGCAATAAAAACATGTATATTCAAAAAATAAAAGTAAAATTCGTACATTATTGTATTATTAGGCACTTTGCGTTCATTGCCAACACATGGGATGCACGCAAGAGCCTCCAAACTTCCATTTTATGCAGTGAATTATATATGTACTGGAAGGTTTATTGCAATCATAGACATATATATTATACCCTAGAGTGCTAACTCTCTTATATACTGTCAGCTGTGTGTGTACCCAAAACCCATGTACTAAATTCACCCATAGGCGTCGAACATAGTACCCCAATGATAAAAATGAATAATCTCAGAAGTTTTATACCTTCCGCCTATGTACTGATGTTACATATAAATGACATATGTAACATCAGTACATAGACGGAAGGTATAAAACTTCTGAGATTATTCATTTTTATTATTGGGGTACTATGTTCGACGCCTATGGGTGAATTTAGTACATGGATTTTGGGTACACACACAGCTGACAGTATATAAGAGAGTTAGCACTCTAGGGTATAATATATATGTCTATGATTGCAATAAACCTTCCAGTACATATATAATTCACTGCATAAAATGGAAGTTTGGAGGCTCTTGCGTGCATCCCATGTGTTGGCAATGAACGCAAAGTGCCTAATAATACAATAATGTACGAATTTTACTTGTATTTATATGTAACATCAGTACACTTTGTACACCACGCTGCATCTGAACTTGTCAGCTGCGTTAATATAAGTAATATTTGTGAAATATATAATATATAACATTTTTCGGTATATATAAATATATGTTAACAAAATGTTAAAAAATTATGTTGTTACGGGATGCGCAGAGAGAGAGAGAGAGAAAGAGAGAGAGAGAGAGAGAGAGAGAGAGAGAGAGAATTTATATTACAAAACCTGGTTTTATTTCTGACAATAAAACAAATTACGATTTCAATGTTCTTATTTCTTTATTTTGTTTCATTTACTTTTAGAACTGACAATCACAATATACTTTAACGTTTTTTGAGTTTCAGATACTTTACTTTCATATTTAGTATTAATATTTCAATCACAAAATTAGATTTTATATATGATACTTTCTTTATGTGTAGCAACTGTAATTACGTGTAAATATATATACTTTTACAAACTGTCATTTTACAGCTGCAAGTAGCTAACGACACAGGAAGTGCTCCATTTAGGTTACTTTCCAACAAGAGACACAAGTCGACACAAACAGGGAGCGTCCCGATTGACCACGGTACGATTGGACACAACCAACCGATGAAAAGAATTATCTAGTGAATTACTAGGTCGAACCAATCATTACAATCTGTGTCCAATCGTATCGTGGTCAATCGGGTCCCACCCACACAAACATTTTTCTATCTTTGTTTCACATTTAGTGAGTAACAAAGGGTGCTTTCCAATTGCTTAACTCATCTTAACACACACGTACACTCAGAGGCAGGTATGGTGTCCCTCGGCGGGTCCGTATACGCCTGTCAAATAGTCGAAAGCGACAACAGGCGTATACGGAGGGCGTACTGTACGTCTGACGTACAACGCGAGAGAAGCGAAGAAGGCACGTAGGGGAAGTGGTGGGAGATATTTCGATGTTGCATTCTTTTCGCACGTCGTCCGATCAAGAGAGAAAATATCAGCAGACGTGATAGCTGTTGAATAGCTGTTGATAGCTCTGAAGAGTACACAATGAGTAATAAAAAACGCAACAAATATAATTTGATTCTATCGATTCAATTCTTAATAATCGAAAGAAAGAAATTGTATTTTTGAGGTTGGTTAAATGTGAGGTTGTTTTAAGGGATAAACAGAAATATTTGCATACTTTTCTCGATGGTACAAATTAGTACAAATTCAGAAACGATAAAATCTATTGCAATTCGCCGTTTTTCAATGATATTTACTCTGTTAGCTTAAAATTAAGTCCGCAGAACCACAATTTTTTGAAAAATTGTGATCCTGCTATCTTTATAGTAGGTTTAGATAAGGGAGAGGTTGTTTAAAGGGGAAAATATAAAATTTTCGATTTATTTCGAATGGTACAAATTAGTACAAATTCAGTACTAATTGTGTGTACCATGGTTTATTTTTTTTTATTTTTTTTTGGTCCTGCTAACTTGATATCAAGTTAGCAGCGCCACCATTTTTTTTTAAATGGCATGTGGTACAAATTTTTTTTGTGGTACAAAATAGTACAAAATGAGTACTAAAAAATGCGATAGGTCCAATTCGATTCCGCTCATTTGGTCCTGCTAGCTTGAGAGAGGTTAGAGCGTGTCCTTATCGAACCGCGACATCGTTCACGTTCTGGCGCGCACTTTCGGCACTTTGCATCGTCGATTGCGTGGCCGTCTTGTACATCGATATTTTCGTGACGGCAGTCTCCACTGGCGACATCGCTCCGCGTTCTACGTATCTTTTGTCTATCAAAAGTGAACTTGTGACGATTCGAGATTCGTCACGACGGCCGAAACAATAATCACAAGCTAACAAAACGCCGAACAACCGCGCGCGGAATAACCGCAAGGTCAACAAACAGTCGAACTGTTTGTTATAATTTAGTATAAAAGCCGACAGAAAATTGATATCGGGAGAGATTGATTGGAAAGCTCCTCTCAGGCGCACGACCGACCACAACTCGC